GTTTTTCGGCGTTTTTAAAAACGCCGCCCTAGTGTTTTGATATTGCGTTTTACAAGTATTTTTCGAAACAGCTTTTTTATATTATATTACACGCGGATCGCGCGTTTGGGCTCTATTTTTTACTCTGCTACCTTCCTAAGCCCGCAGCCGACCTTCCTTCGAACATTTGGCGTCGATCCCGCCTCCATCGCTCTGCAGGTAACAAAACTCTTTCCTCGCTCGACTCCTCCCTCCTTTCCCCCATTTCGCCGAGAGATCTAAGATTTTGGCAAGAGATTTCACTCGATCCATCTGTTTTGAAGTTTTTGGTGGCTAAAACCTAGATCTGGTCTGAATATACAAGTAGCGTCGGTAAAAATATAGATCAACTATTTTTGTGATATGTTTGAAGCATCCAGAGGGTTTTCTTCTTCATTCCCCATCCTTACCTTTCTTCGAACAGTGTTTATTCGTATGAACCGAAATTTTTTTTTTCATGTTTTGTTCGTATGGTCTCCATGCTATTCAAAGTTATTGATTATTTTAGGGTATTTGTTGAGGCTAGAAGATATTGATGCAATGCTCTGTTCCCTGCGATTTGATTCTTTTAGGGTATTTGTCGAGGTTATAAGATAGTGATGCAATGCTCTATTCCCTGCGATTTGGTATTAAAGTTGCTTTATATTTTATTTTTTATGAGGATATGATGAACTATTATCTATGAATATATAGAAGATATGGGGTAGGATAAATATGATCGTGTTTATGTGAAGAATATTGTATGTGATTTGCAATAGCAATGATGTTCAACAAAGTCAAATAACATAGTACAAATGACAATTGAAATTGGAATTGCCTACTATTTCTAAAATGGAGTGTATTGCATTTATTCAACAAAAAATGGAGCGTTTGTTGTCGGCTCATTTGTGCAAAATAAATGGCAAAATGTATGTGGTTAGTGGGATCAGTTTCAATGTTTTTTTCACTAATAATGAGGTTAGTGGTGCAGTAATTGAAGCATAATTTTGAAGAAACTTGTTGTAGTACACTGTGAACTCCAAGAAACATCTTAACCATTTTTAATTGTTTTGATTTTTGTGGGATCAGCTTCTATGTTTTTTTCTAAAATCGTGAAAGTCCATTTTTTTTATGAAAAAACTTTTGGTGGGAGTGGTACATATCTTTGGTATTCTTTGAGTCCTGTTTTCTGACTTTCTTCAACAAGTCACATAATTTCTTAGAAGTTGTCAGTTGTGTTTTTGGGACCGTTCTATTTTAATTAGGAAGAATTACATAAACTTTGATTTTTGCATATATGTCATGTTACTTATGCATTAGAAGGTGTATTTTACTTTTTTAAAAGTAAATATAGTTATAGTTTTTATGTGATTTGACAGATTTGGATGGTATAAATGTAAAAAATAAGGTTTTGGTATTAGAAATGTAAATAACATACCTAAACCATGAGCATATTAGATATATGTCATGGTTTAGGTATGTTATTGCTCTTTTTCATTATTCTTCTTGTTTATGGTGTAGACGAGTTGAGCCGAACTTATTATTTAAACAAGTGGATTTGATTGGGACGAGATTATTATGACAGAATTGGTTAAAGAAACAATTTTGTTGTGTCGATGTTTGCTCACAACTGAATGGGTAAAAAAAACTTGCATTATTGTTATTTCTTGCATATGTGGTTTTGCAATAATGAAAGTTTGGGTGATAATTATTTTATTATTTATGCAACTCAGCATTTTTTGCTTCGATGAGACCCCTATCTTTACTTGTACGAAAGAAAAATTGACTATCTTATTATGGTAGATCCAATACATTGTTGTTGAAGCAGGTTTTTCCAAGTATGTTTTTAACAAGCTATGATGATGTCATTTGGGTTGTTGGTTTAGAATTGGAAAGTTGAGTGAAGAAAATATGTTTGATGGTCTATAGTCCTTTGGATTGTCTTTGCTAGCATTGCTTTAGAATTTCTAATATGCTCTATGTGTTCCAAATTTCAATTGGCTATTACTCAAATACGGTGGCACTATAATAATAGAGAAAATTAAAGAGAAAATGTCTCATAAATGATGGTTATATGAAAAACACATTTATGTTTCACCCATAGACCAATATATATTTTAATTCATTATCTTTTTTGAATTTTGTTTTACATATGCATATTTCATATCTTAAGTGTCTAATTTTCAGTCATAATGTCATCTAACCATCCGTTAATATGACAGTAAAAGATGAATAAATCTAAAGACTCTGGTTCATCGGCTATATGGGATAGAGAGACTACTAATATTTTTTGTGATCTATGCGTGAGTGAGGTCGAATTGGGAAATCGACCCACAACTTTTTTTAATAAAGAAGGTTGGTATAATATCACAATTAAATTCAAAGAAATAACTAGAAGAGATTACGATAGGATGAAACTAAAGAACAAACGAGATCAATTAAATGACTAATTAAAGGACTGGAAACTTTGGAAAGAGCTTAAAAGGGGATCAACTGGATTGGGATGGGATCCAGTAAAACGGATAATTGATGCACCTGAGGAATGGTGGGCAGAAAAGTTATCGGTAATAACATCACTATTTCAACTAAATTTTAGAGACATATTTTTGGAATATTGATTAGAATTTTTTTTGTCATTACAGGTAGTGCCAGCGGCAAAAAAATTTAAATTTAATAGAATTGAACCAGCTTTGGAGGAGAAGTTAGATGACATGTTTACTGGTGTTGTAGCAACGTTTACTGGTGTTGTAGCAACACAAGAACTCATTTTTTCACCCCTAATGAGCAGGGTGTTGTGTATATTGCAAAAGGGAGTGGTACACCACGAGTATTTTCCAGGAGGTCACCCATCATATTGCTACTCTAGCCCAAGCATGCTTAACTTCGGAGTCCTGATGAGATCCAATGCACTGATGCTGGTATGGTTGCACAGAAAGATTAGTGCATTATACTTATAGAGATTGCTGCCCGTTATAACACAGATTCATTTTAGTGGATCTTTTAGCCCTCAAAATGGCCGAATTGAGTGTTGAGAGCTCAGTCAAATGAGCCTATGACACATCATCGCATCCTTTGCCTATCGATAAGTTTTCCAGAAAGAAGTTGCAATGGTGAAATAGACGTCTTCGCGCAAAAGGTATGTCAGTTCTCGTGCCACTTTGCATTTCACTAGCCGATAATCCTTGTGGGGCCCAAGAAAAATGTTCTTTCTCTCGGGTGGCGACGTCAAAAAAAATTGTTGAAAAAGCGACGAGTGTTGCACGAGGACTACCTAGGAGGTCACCTATCTTAGTAGTACTCTCACCCAAGCATGCTTATTTGCGGAGTTCTGATAGGATCCGATGCACTGGTGTTAGTATGGTCACATTAAAAAATAAATGCGGCTTGTTTATACTTATAGAGACCACACCTCATCATCACGTGGATTCATTTCAACGGACTGTTTGACCTTTAAAACGATCGAATTGAGAGGTGATAGCCCAGCCGGAAGCGCATACGCAAGCCCTCCGCCTTTTGATAAGCTTTCCGGAATGTGATCACAATTGTGAAACAAATGCGAAGTTATGGTGATTCTCGTGTCGCTTCACTTTTCACCAGCTGATAATCGTTGTGGGGACCACGATCAATGTGCTTTCTCTTAGGTGGCGATGTTGAAAAATGAAAACTATATATATATATAATATATATATATTAGTATGTATATCAAAAGGGACATATACAACACGAGGACTTCCTAGGAGGTCACCCGTTATAGTACTACTCTTGTTCAAGCACGCTTAACTTGAAGTTTTGATGAGATTTTGTGCACTGGTGCTGGTATAGTGATACCAGAAAATAAAGATGTTTTTTTAATGTTTATAGAGATTGCAGCCCGTCATTGCACAAATTCATTTTGACAAACCGTTCAGCCTTCAAAACAACCGAATTAAGCTGCGAGAGCCCAGCTGGATGCCCCTTCGACACATTTGTGCGTTCTCCGTCTTTCGATAAGCTTTCCGACATGAGGTTGCAATAGTGAAATGGACGCTTACGTGCGGATTTATAGTTATTCTCGTGACACTTCGCATTACACCAGCTGATAATCCTTGTGGGGCCCACAATAAATGTGCTTTCTCTTAGGCGGTGATGTGTGTGTGTGTGTGTGTGTGTGTGTGTGTGTGTGTGTGTGTGTGTGTGTGTGTGTGTGTGTTTATATTGCAAAAGGGAGGAGTGCAACAGAAGGGCTTCCCCGGGGGTCTTCTATTCTAGTCTTACTCTAGAATTCTGATGGGATCCGGTGCACTGTGATTGTATGGTCACATCAGAAGATAAATGAAAGAAACAACCAGTAGAGACACCAGAGTTCTTACGTGAAGAACCCAGAAAAGGAAAAAAAAACCATGAGGCTTGGTGTAGCTAAATAAATCCACTATAAATAAACTGGTGATTATAAGTATAGTTCCTCGTCCTATAGGTGGGAATGGGTTGAACACTTTTTTGGAGTTACAACTTGGTGCATAGATAAAGTTGTTGTAAGAAGTGGACGGCGGCCGATGGTGATCGATGGCGACCCACAGGTGGTGGTCGACTATGGTCGGTGGCGGTCCATAGATGGTTGATGATGACAATCAGTAGGTGGCGATCGACGATAGTCAACGATGCTCAATGGCGGTAGGAATGGTGCTGGTATGTATTATTATAAGAACAATTTGTTATTTTTTAATTAGTTTTTAGATATATATCCTGAAGAGTACCCCCTCAATCCCCCTTAAATATCTTGCACCCTCCATCTATTGCTTGTTTGTCAACAAAATTTTGCAAACCAAAATAATTGGTGAAGAACCTTTAAAAATGGACTGTATTAGAACCTTCAATATATAAAAATTGTGCTTGCATGGTCAACTCTAGAACAAATTTAATTTAGGCTTCAATCTCTTTTATTATAATTTATAGAATCATGATTCAGCCAAAACATTTTATTTATGGTGATGTAGCCATATATCTATTTGCATTTATGATTTAGGTCATTTCATCCTTATTATTAGAAAGTTGAAGCAAATTAAACACTGGAATGCATGGTTCTTCTTTAATACTACACTGCGTTAACAAATCTGTTGCCGATCCTTCACTCGTTCCTCATCGAAGATCTCCTCGTTTCTTCGCAGGTACGCATGGGAGATCCATATTGTAATCGTGCCAAAACCAAGCCTCGATTGTCCTAATTACGCTTTTTTTTTTTTTTTGGATCTTAATCTGACTTTCCTTTCGATTGTCCAAGCGAAGAATTCAAAATTGCAGGGCAAGAAATAACGTTCATATAGATTTTCATTCTCTAGTTTTCGGAAATTTTTACGATTAATCGCATTTTTTTTCTTGCGAACTTTTGGATTGTTATGTGATTGATGTTCTCAGATTCGTAGGGATTCCGGGAAGCTCGCGGTTGCAAACTCGCAATAGGAGTGGAGGCCGTAACCGGATCCAAACGCCGACTTTTGTGGTATGCTTTGAATTATCGGAATGTGAAAGTAACTTTCCCTTTCTGTCTCTTTCGATGTGGCTTTTTGTTTTGCAGCTAGAAATTATTTAATGGATATTTATTTTTCTTTAAGATTGTTTTCATTTAAATTTTATTACAAAGTTGTATGTAATAGGTTTTTTCCACTTTATCTGTTTGTCTACCTCTTGTTTCTTCAACGATGTCATGTTCTTTGTTTCTGTTTGTTGAATGTCATTGTTGCTTACCTTTTAGGTTTTTTTTTTGTCTAGTTTATAAACTTATTTTTGGCAAGATTACATAACATACATACCACCTTCTTTATTGTTTTTTTTTTTGGGGAATATGAGGGACCCTCCAAATAATTCTTTATAAAATGAGGTTAGACAGCACAATCACAAGTTTCAATTACGAGTGTAAAACAAAAACATGTGAGGTTACAAAGCAATACTGCCTAAGCAAGTGAACCTAAAAATCCCCAACATGCTTTCGGATCAGATTCAATCCAGGATAGTGAGTATACTGAACCCTTAACGGATGTGATGCTGCAACCATTACGGAGGAACCTAAAAAGCATAAAATTGTAACAGAAAGAGAATGGTGCTATCAAAAAGTCAGAATTCTATAACCGTAGTTCTAGTAGACCTTCCCCAAACAGAATCCAAAAGAACTTTACCAAGAAATTTATGTGACAGAATAAAGATTGCAAATATGGTCTCAGTGATCACATAAAACAAAAAGTGAAAGTTAGCAACAAGGATTAGAACCATAAGAGAAGCAGCTATAAGATGGAGAGAAGTCTTATAGCTGCCCAAGCTACAAATTGAAAAAAATAATTGCCTGAATTTACACCTTCTACTCTTGTATCTGACAAGATTTTTAATGTTATAGACAACTGAATTTATATTGGAATTTTCATTTATGAAAATTTTTTCATTTCCTTGAAGCCATAAATAATGAGCAGGGACTTGAACAGCTAGAAAAGAGAAAAGTCTAGTGATTTTGCATCTGACTGACAGCATGAACAAATTATTGTTGAATACTAGAGCCAATGTGAAAGAGGGAGCCTAGTGGGGTGATATTTTGCAGAATATGAAAAGCAGAGAAGCATTCAAAAAGGAGATGAGCATGATTTTCAGAACAGTTCTTGCAGAAAACACATGTATTATTCATGTTGAGATCTCTAGCTACTAATCTGTCCTTTTTAGTTAAGCTCTACATTAGAATTTTTCATGTAAAAGTGGCATATTTGAGGGAGAATCTTTTGAACCAAAGCTGTTTACTCCAATGTAAAACAGGAAAATCATTATAAAGGAAGTTGTAAACTACTTTATAGACATAGTTGTCTTTCCCGATCAACACGAGAAAATCCAGAATCCATAACTATGATTTTGTTAGTGGAATTTATGCAATAAAAAAGGAGAGAGATTAGCAGGAAAATTTGTTTCTTTGCAAAATATAATTGAGACAACCAAACCAATCAAAAGCAATCCCGCAATATTTTTCATTGAGAGAGACTCCCTCCAACTAAGGGCCAAAGAAAAAAGATATGTGTATGTTGCTAGTAACCTTAAAAGTTATGCCATTTCTAATGCTCTTAGTGGTATTGATCAATTCCTTCCAAAAAATAGAAATTTTGTTAGTCTTTGGTTAGAATAGAGAACCATAATGTGTGAACTACCATTTAGATAAGAAATTTTTAGAATTGAAAGTTTCCAAATGAGCTTAGCTTTACGTAAAACATAAAATTTTTAGATTGGGTAGGCCCAACCCTCCACAATGTTTTGGCCTGGTGTTCTAGGAAATTGTATGCAATATGTTATTTGAGCTACCAAGGAGTAGGAATTTATTTATATAAGATGTGATACTCTTCTTAAGGCCCTTAAGAATAGAGGTAGCGCTAAACCGGTAAGATAGAAAGCTCCAAATAGTACTTCTAATTTATTAAAACCTTCCCGCAAAGGATAATAATCAATGTTTCCAATCATTTAAAATGTCAATAATCCTTCAGGGATATGAGGACAATTATAAGCTGTATTTTTGGGGTAGTGAGTGACAATTCTAAGGTATTTCTAGGGCAAGAATTTCTCAGTAAAATTAAGAGTTGGACTAATTTGTAACTTCCTGAAGTCAGAAATAGATTTGGAGAAACAAATGAAAGATTTTATTGAGTTTCTAAAAGTCAGATAATGTATTGAATAGCCCAACTGTTGTGATTAGATTTGTTTTACCAAAAACTAAGAAGTCTTTAGCGTATATGAGATGGTTTATGTTTTGGAACATATCATTATTTGCTATAATGTTCTAATTGTTATATAGTAAGCATGAGAAAACATCCATAATGATGGTAAATAAACACGATTAGAGGAGGCACCTTGTATTATCTCTAAAGTGGTAGAGAAAAATCATGATGCTCATTATTAATAATGATAGAAAACAAAACACTTTTGTGAAGGCAATAATCCAACCAATAAATTTAGATGGAAACCAAGCTTATCCATACTTTCATATAGAAAATCCCTTTTAAAACTATCATAGGCTTTCCTCAAATCAATCCTAGCACATAAACTTTTGGAATTGTTAGTAGAGTTAAACCCTAAAAGAGATTCATTAGCCAGAATGATATTATCAGCAAGTGTATACCATACAAAAAAGCCACGTGGGCAAAATGAATAACTTTTGACAAAAAAAGGTTTAATTCTATCATCATGAAGTTTTGCAATAACCTTGTATATAGTGTTGCATCAAGAAATTGGGCTATAGATATTAAGCTCTTTAGCTTGAGGACATTTAGGGATTAAGGTTAAGGCTGTATGCTTGATTCTGTTTGGTATAAGAGAAGAGGGAAGAAGGACTCTTATAGCTTTAGTATAATGGTTCTCAATAAAATCCCCACAATCTTTAAAAGATTTTGAAGATAACTCAGTAGGGACTAGGCTTTTATCCGAGGTAATGGTAAAGAAGACATGCTTAATTTTCTCCCCTGAAAAATCATTCGTGAGGCAAGTAGCCTCAAGAGTAGTTGAGTTCTTTTGTTGGGAGCTGTATGAGTTAAAAATAATAAAATTGGGAAATTAAAAAGTTTAGTAAAATAACTGATAGATTTAGCTACAACATCTTGTTAGCAATTAAGGGAATCACAATTAGTGGATAAAGCTTTAATGAAATTCCTTACTCTCCTCCATTTAACTTTTTTGGTAGAGGAATTTAATTTCGTTCTCTTCTTTAGAAAGCCATGATCATTTTGCCCTTTACTTGCTCTACTTAGCTTCATAGGAGAGATATTCAATTTGTTGATTTTGAGCCTTTAGAGTAGTAGAGATAAGATTCTTTTCTAAGGGGTTCGAACCTAATTGAGAGTGAAATTGTTATAAGAAGGCTTTGATGCCAGCAATAGCTGTAGAAATGTAGCTAAAAGAGTTCCAATAAGATTTCTTTATAGCCATTTTGACACTTTTCAATCTATTGCATATAGCAAATAAAGGATCACCACTCACAGGTATGTGCCAAGCCTCTTCTATTATTTTCCTAAAATTAAGATTGGAACTCCAATAGTTTTAATATTGAAATATGCGTTATGGAGAAAAATCTGTCCCCCAAAGAGATAATAAGAGACGAGTGATTTGAAGTTAGATCTTCCATAATTTTATAGCTAGAGAATTGATCGTGAGAAAACCTTAAATCATTCCCAAAGGCTCAAAGCTTCTAATGTGATTATGTATTTGCTTGTTAAATCAGCTGAAGGCCAAACCATAATTAAAAAGCTCCAAAGGCCCAACATCATGAATACAACTACTGATATCCACCATTTTACTTGGGATATGTAGTAATCCTCCTACATTGTCTCTAGAATTCACTATGTATTTAAAGCTCCCACGACTATCCATGGTAGAGAAATAGAAGTTGCTAGGGTGGTGAGGGCTTGGCACAATGATTTCCTTCTAATAGCTCAATTATCTGCATAAATAAACATAATAAAAAAGTTAGTAGAAGGCGAAGAAGAAATAGAACTATTAATATAATGTGGTTGTATATCCAAAGATTTAAAATCAACAAAATCAGAATTCCAATTGACCCATATGCGCCCATTCTGTAATTAATGGAAGTTATGAATGGATTGCTCATTAGGGAAAATAGAGAAGTGTCTTTTAGAAAGGGGGTCAGAGAGGGAGGTGAGGCTGAGCTATGTCCAACTAACAGAGCAAATCAAGTTTCTGTTCTTTAACAAACTTCTTGCTATCAGTGATTCTTATTTCACAATTAAAACCCCCGACATTCCAAATTGCTATTTTGGAAACACATCAGTGAGATTTGTTAATGTTTGATCACGCATTGCCCTTGTGCCATCCTTTCTTTGCTTTAGAGGCCCCCGCGGGGGGAGAGGGGGTGTAGAGGTAAGACTGTGTACAGACAAGAGAGTGAGAGAGATCAGTGTTGGGAAGTGGTGAAGAGGAATAAAATGTTTGAGAGGTTACAAGGGGTTTTAGGCTTCACAGTGGGGGAGGATGAGTCAGTGACAGGGGGAGTTGTGTTTGTCTGGAGGGAGGGAGGAGGCTTTATTGGAGGGGAAGAGGAAGAGGAGTTCTTTGCTAGGGGAGGTGCATTGATGCCAGGGTTTGGTGTGTTATTGAGAGGGGGACAGAGGAAGTGTTAGGGGTGGGGGGATGGTTTGGGTTTGAGCAGATGTTAGGGGGGATGGTTCTGATGGAGCTATGCCTACAGATGCGAGGTTTGTTTGGATTTGTCCTGTATAGGCTTCTACTTTAGAAACAAGGAAATATTGGGGGAGGGCAAAGGAGGGGGATTTAGGGTAGAAAGAATTTTCATCAACAAATGTGTTGCAATTTTAATATGGATTTGGTATTCATTCAAAAATGATAGATTGAACAATATCCTTGCCATTGACAGTTAGGGTGATTGAGTTCAACATGATGAAACTCGTTTGAATTTGAACTCTAACTCTAGCAATGGTAAGCCTTGACCCTTTAGTTGTTTCGGATGTTTGACCCATAATTTTGGAGATACCACTTTTAGATAAGAGACACATTGGTAGGTTCGGGAGTTTGATTCATATAGGAATTTCTTGGAAAAATTTCTCGATCGGTTGAAACAAAGGAGTATATTTTCTTAACCATAAATGTTTTACAATTTAAAAACCAGAGCCCTCCATCCAAAATCATTTCATAAATAATCTTCAACACGTGAGAAATTTAAAAGAATAAAAACTTCAGATAAAGAAATAAGATCAACCACATCTTTTGTTTTCCAGAGCTTTGAGATATTCTGTAAGAGGTTACCAAAAAATAGCCTTTTTCTAATAACATAGCCCATAAGTGCCAGATTCCATCTTTTTGGATCTTCCTGCACTTCAGCCAAAAGGAAAGAGGTTTTTGTCTTTAAAACGAGTTATATAAAAAAAATTGGAAGCATAAGAGCATGGTAGATGAGAAGCGATAAGGCCCTTCTTTTGAGGGAAGGAGAAGATGAGGGGGCTTAATTCTTTTGTTTCTACATCTAAACTTCAATTTTTACATATATGTCACTTTACGTATGCATAAAAAGGTGTATTTCACTTGTTAAAAATTTAAAATAATGATATTTTTATTTGAAATGAAAGATTTTGGCAGTATAAATGTAAATAAGTAAAGTTACGTGTTAGATATGTAAATGCATAGAAATTGGGTGGTATGCATGTAAATGGCCCTTTTTTATTTCATGTTTTGAGCCAAATTCTTTTGAGAATTGTTGAAATCAATTAATTATTGTTTTGAGAAGTTATTTTATTTAAAAATACAAGCTTGTTTAATTGTCCATGCACCTGGCTTTGGTATATGTAAGTAGTAAAACCATTAATTTATGGAAATTTTTTTGTCACAAACTTGTGATTTGTTGTCTTCATCATGCTAATAATTTACTATTTTTGGAGTTCAATGATTTTTATTAATGATACAAGCCTTATTTAGAAGATTTGAAATCTACAAACTTATTTTTCTTCGACATTAGTATGCATCTTTTATATCATCATCATCACTATTATTATCAATTTATGTTTTATTTGGTGTAGTCTAATTGAACCGAACATTTTATTCTTGATCATTTTCTTGTGATAATAAATGCGGTTTATGAAGTTCTTATTTTATTGGTGAAGTCACCTTTGGCCTACTATTTTGCTCTTCTCATCTCTTTCTTATTTATTGATTCTTTCTATGTCTTATTTGTTTATCTTCTACACTATTAAATTGTAAACATGCAAGTATAAGTTTTCGACATCCTTGCCTGGAAAATTTTCTTGTGAAATAAGTTGTCTAATACAATTTTTTTTTTTACTATTTTTCCTAATTTTATAAATTCCATCCTTACACTCTCATTTTCTCACTCTTAATCTAATAGGCAAGCACTCGAGTTCATCATAATCATCATCCTCTTTACCCAACTTGACATAGGATATAGAAAATGTTGTCTTATTGTTGCTTAAAAAAAAAACCATTCCACTCAAATATTCTTCTATAACATTGTACCTTAAAGGTTTTTATTTTTTATTTTTCTAGTTATCTTATGATAAAAATTCATTTTACCATAAAGGTTATTTCTCCATTTATTCACTCAATTGTAACTCTATAAGTTATATTTTCATCTATATACTTAATGTTTTGTGTGATAGAACTAAGGTCTCTAAGCCTGTAACAAAATGGTAATATCAATTCTTAACTTTATTGATTTCTTATTATTAATTTCGTGTACTTAGCAATTGTAAACAATTAGCTATTATTTTCATTGAACCTAAGTCTCTTCATCTTTTAAATTTTATTCTCCATTGTTATAATTTCACATAGGATGGAATAAATCGCTGCTATGAAAATATCATGATCACTACTAGCCTTTTCTCAATTCCTAATAGCTAACACGGGGGTGGGTTTTTTACAATATCTACTATAATCATCTTCATGACTAATATTAAAATTTTATGACTTGATGCTCATACTTGTTGTGGCGATATTATGATTGGTTCTCTTGGTTACTCAAATTAATTTTAAATTACCTTAGCATTCTTACATGACTTTTGACTTTTAAACCTCCCAAACATCTTTTCCGAGAGTGGATCATTCATTCATCTTTTCATGTTCAGTAAAACCATATGATCCATTCATTTTACTGAATATCTTCAATTAAATAACCTAGGATGAATAATTTCTCTAAAAGTTATCCTTTTTTATAAAACCAAAGTGATTTTCAGCTATGATGGGATCTTCCTTACTCTGTGTTTTTATTATCTCCCATGATTTCATTGTATTTTCATAAGCTTGAGTACCGCATGGTTACTAAATTTGAATTGATACTAAAGAGAATTTTCTCCAACCATTAGATGTCCACTTGTGAAAAATATCCTCATTTAGGTGTGAATGGATTAAATCGTTCTATCTGAAATGAATTTTTCTCTTGCTTGAATTTGTTACTCATGTATCTTATAGCATTCTTTTAATTTTTTATCTTTCACAGCTTCCCTTTTGTGAACGTCCAAAGGACTCTTGGGAAATGACATCTGAGAGGGACGTGTTTAGCATATCAGGACCTATTCACCTGAGCTCTTCTTTAAACTGGTATGTGCTTCGACACGTGCTCTGCCATTAGTGCTTTGAGTTTATGTTTCGCACTACTTGAAATCGAACAGTTGATAATCGGCACCCATCCATTTCTCTTCATGAATATTGATGGCTGAATTATCGTCAGTTTAGTATTTGTATTCTTTTCAACTCTTGTGTTGTGTTATTGTACCTAATTGTAAAGCAGATAATTGTCTGGTAAAATTATTATAAAATTTTGTTTTAAAATCTGATAAGTTTTGTGGCTTGGCAGAAGCTTTTTGATGCACTGATACAAATTGATTGAATGACTAAAACATGCATCATTTGAATTTCATGCAATTATATTAAGTATGTTTTATTAATACGATCTTATTTAATACATAAATTATTAAAACTATTATTAAATGATTTAATTAGATAAAAAAAACAAAATTCATCAAGAGTATTTATGGGATGCTGACTAAACTACATTCCAAGAAAACTAATTTTTAGCTTTCATTAATCTTGTCTTATTCATATTTGTTTTTCCAAACACTCAAAAATCTTCAAGGAAGCATGAGCAGACAGCACAAAGTTATGCCGACCAGATTTTCTTGTTAGATTTGTTGCACACTTTTTAGAAATGTTATCAAGCTTATCTTCCATGGACACCTCAAAAACATTCTTTGATCTCTTAAATTTGGCTGTCTAACTTGGATAAGCAACAATAGAACGAAAAGAAAGAAATCTTCTTCTGGGAGAATGATTTACATGAGTAGATTTTAATTCCTGATTTACCAAGCGTAGTAGCTGGTTGGATACAACGTATTTTATTTATAGCTTTGTTCTCTAATTACATTTTACTCGAGCATGACTATTTGATGCTGTTGATTTTGAATTTTCAATCATATGTATTTATAGGAAAAGTAAAACTATTATCACATGAAATACAATAATTGCTTTTTTTTGTTCTTAAATATGAGACATTGTGATGCAAGGGGACGTGGAAGCATTGTCAGTTGATACTTGTTTTCACATTCTGGAAGCGAAAACATCCATGCTTATATATCTCTTTGATCTGAACTTTCAACTACCGTACCACCCAAAACCGGCTTGCAGACACATAAATCTTGTTCTTGTAAGTATCTAGCAGGGAAACTCATCACTATAGTCTAAATTGCTAGATGGTGCTTTGATACCTGATCACATCTCTCACATGGCAAATCATAAGAGAAGAACTTATCACAATCATAAGACCGTTTAGTTTCATACTTGCATTCTAAAATGAGCATGCCTTGACCAGCTAGGTAGATAGAGGTCTACAAATGCTTTGAACATCTTCCTTTTTGTCTTGTTTTGTAGACTAGCCTTTTTTTCTTTAATATATTCATTGTTAACCTCTTAGCGCGAAGGTTTTTTGTTAGGTTAACTCAAACTGTACTTCTCTAAATTTGAATTCTCCAGCTCTTTCCTGATTCAATTGACCATATTAGGATGTCTAAGGCTCTTGTTTGGTTTGAAGGAATTATGCGAAAAAATATGAAATGTAAATAGTAATTACAATGATCAAGGATTTGAATTGAATTTTGTTTTAGCCTGCTAGTTTTGCTGAGGAGATGATCTTGTTAAAATGTATTTTCTTTTTATTGGCCGGTTAAAAGAGAAAATAAGTTTTTTTTTCTCTTTTTCAATTTTTATTTTTTAGGTGAGAACGGGCGTATCAGTCATAACTACCTTATAATTTTTTTCTTCTCGCTTTTTTTCATTAGAGTGTGAAATGAACTATATTTGTAAAAATGTACTTATTCATATTTCTTAGGTAAGCATTCTTAGCTATTTATTACATTGAAATCAACCATCCAATATGCAGATGTAAAGTGAAATGCATTTGCATTCCTCTCTCTTTAAACCGAACAGATCCTTAATGTATTTCGTCCAACTACCTAATATGGTCCTTGATAGTTTTCGGGGGAATAGTGGAAATACTGAAGGTTCAAGCAAAATATTGATGCATTTTGTTAGAAGCCTTGACAAATTAGTAGAAAAGAATATTATTATAGGTGTGCTCAGCACTGTGTTTTCTTCAAATCACTGAATTGCTCATCTTTAGCAGCCTATTTGTAAATATTGATTTGTTGGTGCCCAGAATATGATATATTTTATCTTTTGCATTAAATAGGAATTGCGCGCATCATCGAAGATCTGTTGCTGCCTGTTTGGTTCAGAGTGTATATATCCTAGAGCGTGACAGGCAAGAACTTCGCGAGGGGCCAGAAGCTCTTGGACCTGCTTGGTGGGAATCCTTCCATTTTGAACTGAGTCGCAAGCTTGTTGATGATGCTGATTTTTCCATCTTTGGTGCTATTTTTGAATATAAGCCTCCAACTTACATTGCTACTATTGCCAATGCTCCAAGGTTTGTCATAGCCTTCCGTGGCACAATCATTAAGGTAGAGTCAGTAAACCGGGATCTTGCGCTAGATTTGCATCTGATGAAAAATTCCCTCCATCAGACCACACGATTTGAACTCGCAATGCAAGCTGTTCACAACATGGTTGCAGCTGTTGGAAGCTCAAATATCTGGCTTGCCGGTCATTCTTTAGGGTCGGCTGTGGCTTCTCTTGCCGCAAGGAACATGGCGAGGACCGGCACCCTTCTCGAGGCATATCTCTTCAACCCACCATTCTTCTCAGCTCCAATCGGGAAGATCAAAGATCAGAGGGTAAAGCATGGAATTCGACTTGCAAACAGCTTGGTCACTGCTGGTTTAAGTTATGTTCTTAAAAGCCGACAAGAGGAGTCTTCATTAGAGGTTCCCTTCGTCACTTTGTCCTCATGGGTGCCAAATCTATTTGTTAATCCTAGTGATCATATCTGTTCGGAGTATATTGGGTATTTTGAACATCGTAGAAATATGGAGGATTTGGGAGTTGGAATCATTGAGAAGTTGGCAACCCAGAATTCATTGGGGGATATATTCCTTAGAGCAATTGGGAAGGAGTCTGATCCGCTGCACCTTCTGCCATCAGCAAAGTTAACGGTCAATTTAAGCCCCTCTCCAGACTTCAAATGGGCGCATGGTATTCATCAGTGGTGGAGACCTGATTTACATCTACAAACAAGGACATATCTCTATAGTTGATATCTGCCTCAGAAGCTTATACTGTTGCTTCGTTTTTGGGGTTGGAGCAGGAATCAAACATAATTGTCTGATGTTGAGGTATATTCTTTAGAACTCACTGGTGATTTTGAAATTTTAGTGTTGGATTCATGACTTCTAGTTTTTTGTGCAGCTGAAGTTGTGGCATTAGCTACATTGTCTACTCTGTACCGGGAAAGACATTGGGTCATTTTTTCCCTATTATTTGATATTATTTTTGCCTATTTGGTTTCTTTTGTTTTTATATTGTATTTATATCTATTGTGAGTTTAAGAGGAGTTAAGGTATCGGCTAATGCTGATTTGGCTATTTCAAACATATTAGACTCTCCAACTTTCTCCATTAATGGTTTGTTAGGTCACCTGTAGTGTTTGGGAGCATTCTGAAGTGCATGTAAAGCAATCTCATTGTTTACCAAAAGGTCAAATAGTGTATATTAAGATGAACAACTTAAATAATGTATATATATGCATTGCTAGGTTATTTTCCCAGCTTGATTTTTATATGGGTATACTTGGCTTTAAAGCTTTCTAAAATTTTCTGAAAAATCTGGATTCAACGGATTTCCAAGATGGTTTGTTTGCTGTTCTCATTGCATTACTTGGTTTTGAATTCTTGCTAATTATTTTTAGTGGTGATGTGTCATCAATAAATTTTTATCATCAAGCAAAACTCTCCATGCACTTTCAACAACATATTTTCCAAATTTTATTTCATGATCATCCAAGCCCCGGGTTTAAAAAGTTTATTCAAGTTGAGCATCTCACCACGATGAAGTTAATGATGCTTGAAGTAATCAGAGATGTCTAGTTGGAGAACACTCCTTAAGTGTAATTGAAATAAGTCAGGCTTAAACACATGAAATGTAGTAAATAATATTGATGTGTTAATTGAAAGGTTAAACGATCTCAAAGTTTGACACTTACAGTCAAGCCGAGCGGCTCAAGAGGAATCAAATGAGTCTAAGGTCATTTAATTCTGAGGTTGATAAGATATTTAAATATTGAAAAAAATTATATATAATTAAAGAAATTAATGTGGACTGTCTGATTGACTCTTGAGAAATATTTTTTAAATTTATTAAAATATTATTCTAAAAAATTATAAATAGATGCACATTTATTCACTCAAAAGGAGTAGAAAAAATAAGGACATGGCTACAAAAGCTCAACTCTTGAAGTCCTAACGGTTGTTGTCAATCACCAGAGTTCACTCTCGATTATCACAGTTTGTTGCCTGCCAACAAAGTTCATCATTAATTATCGTCATTAATTAGTAAAACTATGACTTTTATAGCTAATTATTGTTATTGTAGTAAAAATTATAGTTCTTATAGTCCAATTATGACTATTTTTGTCAAATTACAATTATAAAATTATGATTATTAGTTTTATAATCTCATTTTTTTCTAGTTCAAAGAAGAGTAGACATCCGCACTTCCAATTTTTTAGTGGGTTATTTTGACTAAACTAGACTTGTAATTCTTTTCTTTGCAAGGTTTTCATGTAAAAGATCATGTTGTCTCTTATAGTTTTATCTCTGCTAGAAAATTATACTATGCTAAGGTAAAATATTTTTTTTGTAGTTAAGAATATTTAGTATGCAACAGTTTGGTGTTATTTGTGAGAACAAAATGTAATGAGTCTTTGCTGTTGAAAGTGCCTCTTCATTGACCTTGGAGGACAACAATGTAAAATGGATGTATCGCAAAATAAGTTTCTTCAACTTTTATGTGAAACTCGACAACCAAGATTAGTACAAATGGGTGATATATTTTTACCTCCAAACCAACCACCAATCAGGGATGGCCAGCTGAAGACCACTCCTTAAGATTCTGTTGGGGACAGTTGCTGCTGCTTGAAGAATTAGCGATGAAGCTACTGAAGAAGATGCTATCTAAAAACCTGCAGTGGCTATTACCAACTTTTTTTTTAAAGTAAGACCGTAACATTCTAGTAGCCACCCTAGCTAGTTAGGTCTAGTGAGAAAATACAACTTTCGGCTGCAGCTTTTTGAGAATGCTGAAAAACCACAATTTTTGCCGAAACAAAAAAAATTGTGGTCTGGAACCACGCCACCATCGCACTGTCACTCCAACGCACTTTAAGTGCCTCCTTCTCATACTAAAATTCCTCATCAATCGAGCCCAAGAAACTAATCTTGTAGATATTAATAGTTCTACACATCAATCTTTTGCAGCCAAATTAAATTGCAAAACTCCAACACTTATAGAGAACGTAATTCAACCGATCATGTAATTCATGATGAACTAGACCAACTAAGTTCTTATTATCAATGAATTTTTAATATTACTTGTAACAATATCATTGGAAGGCATGCTCATGTGGAATCTTTGATAAAAGAATAACCCATATACCAAATAAGATCTTCACTTATTATCTTTGAAGAGACACACATGAGATAGTTTCGATGGGAATCTAGTAGTTGACATGATCCTCACTAGCATGGTTTCTTAAGGGAAAGTGGCAGACACATTCTCTGCTTATGCCTTTAGAAGGCATGCCCAAAAGGTAATCTCAATGGAAAGATAGTAGTGGATATGTTCCTCTCTGAAAGGACCCCTTGATGGTCAGTGATAGGCACATTTTTCAATTGTACCGCTAGAAGGCACACCCATTAGGTCGTCTCAATGGAAAGTTAGTAGTGGACATAATCTTCACTAGAAATAACTCTTAATGATAAGTGACATATACAGTCTACACTTATAACCCATGGAAGACATGCCATAAAGTAGTCTTGATGAAAATTTATAGTGGGCCCGATCCTGATTAAAATGATTATTTGAGGGCAAGTGATAAACAATATCTTCACTCGTACCTATAAAAGGTATGCACATGAGGTAGTCTCGATGGGAAACTAATAGTAGACATGATCCTCATTAGAAATATCATTTGACAGAAAGTGGCAAAGAATATCTTCACTCATACCCCTGAAGACACACCAATGAGGTAGTCTTGATATGAAGCTAGTAGTTGACACAATCTCAACTCAAAAAACATCAAAAGACCATAAGGCTGAGAAGATGCATGTATACCTAAAAAAAATTATAATGATTTATAAGTTTCAGATGATATAAATACGCTAGAAAAATCTGTCATAAGATTATAATCCTCAAAAAGTAAATGTAAACTCAAAAAAAACTCAGAGATTATATGAACATTAAAAAAATCATAGAAGGTTAGAACCCTTAGAATGTTCAAATACACTCAAAAAGCCTCATAAGTTTATAAGACTCAAATGTTACCCGCACATTAAAATAATCTCAAAAGGCTATAAGCCTTAAAAGGTATAGGTACTTTAAGAAAATCTTAAATGACTCTAAGCATCAGAAGGTGTAGGTATATTTAAGAAAATTTAGAAGGTATATGCCTCAGAAAGTATATGTACACTAAACTCAGAAGATTATAAGCCTTAAAAAGTGTTAGCCACTAGAGTTAGTTGCTGACCACCAAAAGTTATTATTGAACACCACTAGTAATTACTACAATTAACCATGACTTTTGTAGCCGACTATTGTTATTATAATCATTACCCACCGTTCTTGTCTTATGATTATCAGTTTTTGCAAATCCCATATATCTTGATTTAGGAGAAGAGTTGACCTGTGTACTTTGAATTTTCTAGTAGAATACTTTACAAGCTTAGATCAGTGGTTTTTTTTCTCTTTCTGGATTATTTTTACGTAAGAGATCTAGTTGTATCCTATGATTTTGTTTGTGCACTTTGAAATATTATACCAAGAAAAGTCATAAAAATTTTCTATTATAGAGAAATTTCTAGTATGCAACAGTTTGGTGTCATTTATGAGAATAAAATATCACTTTTCTAGAATTTCATTAACTTGATGTCGAAAGTGCTTCTTCATTTACCTTAGAATATTGCATACATAAAATGAAATAATCATAAAATGATTTTATTCACCTTTTATGTGCAGCTCGACAACCAGTACTAGCATAAATGAGTGGGATTTATCAACCCCATGATCAATCACCAATTACTGATGTCTGGTTATGGAACACTCACCCCCTAATCAAACTGAAGCTCCCTTAACCATTCTAGTATTTTGATATTCTAAACACTGATAACTCTACACATTCATCTCATATAGCCAAACTAAATTGCAAATCTCCAACAATTATGGGAAACTTGAGTCAACCTCATCATTTAATTCATGATGAGCTACAATCTCATCAATAAATATTTTATAAATAATATTATTTATAACAATACTTCTAAAAAGCATGCCCTTAAAGAAACCTCAATGAGAAGTTAGTATTGAGTGGATAGAGTCCTCATTAGAAGGACACTTTGGAAGTAAGTAGTAGATAAGATCTTCATGTATCCCCCTAGAAGTCACAACCATGAGATAGTCTCAATGGTAAGCTAAAAATGGACACGATCCTCACTAGAAAATCCACTTGAAGGAAAGTGTTATACATAATATATACTTATATCCTTGGAAGACATGTTTATGAGGCAGTATAAATGGGAAAAGAGTAGTGGAAATGATCCTAACTATAAAGGCCCATTGAGAGCAAGTGACAAACATAGTATTTCAGTGATGTAGTTTTTATCGAAAGCTAGTAGTGTATACGATCATCACTAAAAAATTACTTATTATCAAGTGACAAACACAATCTCTACTTATACCCATGCATAACACACTTGAGTTTGTCTCGATGGGACACGAGTAGTGGACATGATCATTGTGTCAGCACTAATTTTGTCTTTTGGTTGTGAAAGCTTCGAAGTAAGTATTTATCTTCTTTGGATATAAAACCCTTCGAGATATAAATTTTTGTGCTTTTTCGATCCCTATTGTTTCGTGCATTTTTATTGTGTCCTCAGAGCTTTTAGATCAGAGGTTATTGTGCATTTTCACACCAGAATGTAGGAATTTTTTCTTTTTCTCCCGTTGCTTCTTCATTCGACCCTCATTCCTTCAGTCTAAATGCATAAGTAGGTTGGTATTTCATTCACATGTGATATGTGCATTGAATATCTTAAGGTATGAATTTGTTGCTCGCCATTATTACTCGTCTATTTATTTCCCTGATAGGAGTGCTTCAATGTGATGCTTAAGCTTCATTAATAACTAATGAAAAATATAAAAACAAAATCTAAAGCTAGAAAGTTTGATCTGATGGTGACGTTTCTCCGAATGACTGAAGCACTTATATATATCTAGACACACACACGCACGCACGCACGCACACACACACATACACACACGCATACACCCACGCACGCATACGCCCACGCACGCACGCCCACGCCCACGCACGCACGCCCACGCGCACACGCACACGCACATACGCACACACACACACACACGCACACACACGCACGCACGCACGCACACACACACACACAGTCTTATTATTTTGGCCAGAGATTATGACGGCATCTGATAGT